TTGTATCTCGGCATGGGGTGCCGATCTCGATTGTTTCAGACCGCGATGTGCGGTTCACTTCCCGTTTTTGGAAGAAATTTCATGAGGAGTTGGGTACTAAGCTGCATTTTAGTACCGCATACCACCCCCAGACCGACGGTCAGAGTGAGCGGACGATACAGACACTCGAGGACATGCTTCGGGCCTGTGTTCTGGACTTTGGGGGTAGTTGGGACACGTATTTGCCTCTGGCGGAGTTTTCCTACAACAACAGCTATCATTCGAGCATCGGTATGCCACCTTTTGAGCTGCTGTATGGTAGGAGGTGTCGGACTCCCATATGTTGGGGAGAGGTTGGGCAAAGAGTAATGGGCAGTACAGAGATCGTGAATCAGACGACAGAGCAGATACAGCTGGTCAGGCAGAGGTTATTGACCGCTCAGAGCCGACAGAAGAGTTACGCGGATAGACGCCGGTCCGAGCTGGAATTTCAGGTCGGTGACTTTGTTCTCCTGAAGGTCTCCCCTTGGAAGGGAGTGATCCGGTTCAGGAAGAGGGGCAAATTGGGGCCCCGGTTTATAGGCCCGTTTCGTGTGATTGCCAGGGTAGGCCGGGTAGCCTATCGGCTGGAGTTGCCAGCAGAGTTGGGGCAGATTCACAACACGTTTCATGTATCGCAGTTGAGGAAATGTATAGCCGATGAGTCGGCAGTGGTTCCACTTGAGGATATCCAGGTCGATGCGAGCCTGAATTATGCGGAGAGACCAGTGGCTATTAGGGATCGGAAGATCAAGGTTTTGAGGAACAAGGAGGTACCTCTGGTGTTGGTTCAGTGGCAACATCGGAAGGGATCAGAGATGACCTGGGAGCCGGAGGGTATGATGCGGGAGCAGCATCCGGAGCTGTTTTAGAGTGGGACTTCGAGGGCGAAGTCCAGTTCTAGTGGGGGAGAGTTGTAACATCCAGATTTTTTCAGGTATTATATAAATTTAATTGTGTTATTTGTGAGAGGGACTCGGCGAGTTGGGGCTTGAACTCGCCGAGTAGGGACGCAGAACTGATCGGGGGTGCGGACTTGGACTCGCCGAGTCCAGGGTATGGACTCGGCGAGTACTCGCTGTGTATTGGAACCCTAAATCTCCGGGTTGTGGCCTATTTAAAGGGCCTTATGGCCGACTTTTGTGCTCACCCAACCCCCAGAGAGAAACCCTAAAGAGATCTAGAGCGTTTGTGAGGAAGGAGAGGCCAATCTTGAACTTTTGTGGGTGTTGTTGCAAGAAGGAAGTGTTCAAGGCAAGAGGAGGCTGAAGGAGGTGCGATTTTTGTGGTCTTTGAGCTCATAGAGGCTGTATTGAGGTATTATTCTCGGACCTTCTTCACTTTTTGGTGTTTATTCTTAGTGTTAGGGTTTTCTAACCCTTTTAGAGGTTGATTAAGTGGAGTAGTTGGTCCCTTCTCGAGTTGTGTTTTGGATCTGGACCCAAAGAGGTCCAGAGACCTTAACCCATGGAGCTTTATGAGTCATTTTGGGAGTCTTGAGCTTGGAATGTCATTTTTGGGGCTAAAGCACCATTTTGGACCATTTAGATGTTATATGTGTGTCAAGGTCCCAACTTTACGTGATTATCATGCTTGGGGAGGCCAGATCTATGATTGTATGGAACAGATCTGACCTCAGAAGTTGTTTTGAGTTCGTGCATGGCATGAACTCGCCGAGTCCGAAGAACGGACTCGGCGAGTAGTATGAAGGTGGCCCGTTAATCACTCAGTGAGTGGACTTGCCGAGTTGGGGGAAATGACTCGGTGAGTCAGGGAGAGTCAGGGGTCTAAGTTCAAGTTGGAACTCGCCGAGTTATTCTGAGACTCGGCGAGTTGAGTCGGGGTGGCCCCACGATTCATGCTAGGTGGAACTCGTCGGATCAAGGGGAGTACTCGACGTGCCAAGAGAGGATCTAAGAGAGTCAGTGGACACGTGTAGACTCGCCGAGTCGCCCTAGTGCACTCGACGAGTCGGGTCAAAGTTTGACCGTTGACCTTGTTGACTTTTAGGGTTGAGTACAGTTGTATTTATGAGAGTTTTATGTGATTAGGCGGAGGCTAGATCACACTTCTTCCGAGTCAGATATTTACCGAGACATCGAGGTGAGTCTCCTCTCTATACTTTACCTTGAGTAGGTAACCAGAGTTATGTGATTGAGTAATTGTATGCTATGTATGTTATGTGTTGTACTGCATGATTTCTATGTGATTTATGTAGTGCATGTTATTCAGAGCTAGAACCTGAGGGTTCACGGAGTTTGGGTGCACGGACCCACAGAGTTATAGCCTCGAGTGGCTAATATGTGTTATATGTGGTATTTTGGGGAACTCACTAAGCTTTGTGCTTACAGTGTTGATGTTATTTGTTTCAGGTGCTAGTGACGACCGCGGGAAGGCGCCGGCTTGATCCGTACACACACGTTTGGAGTTTTTACATGTTGATCTTGGGATTTTGTACTGTTATGTTGAACTATTAAAATGGTTGTTTTTATGAGGAACAAGTAAAATGGTTGTTTTTATGAATATTAACGGAATTATGTTTTTATAAAAAAAAAAAAATTTGGCTTTAAATTTCCGGTGTTACAAATTGTTATCAGAGCCTTGGTTTGAGGGATTCGGGTACACCTTCGGGAGTATTTGAACTCAAACTGAGGAATTAAGAGACATTTTCAAAAAATGAAAACCAAAATTTTCTAAGAGTAAAGGGTTTTCCAGGAAGAAACGTGTGTACGATCAGTCAGCGCCCGAACGGTGAATTCCCAAAATATCCTTCGTTATGAAATAATTATTACTATGATGTGTTTGCATGCTAGAGCAGGCTAGGTATTGCTGATAGGACTAGAGTGGCCTGTTTTGTGATGCCTTAGCTTAGGGAATGGTGAGCTGCTATGAGATGCTGAGAGTAATTAGGTAGCAGCTAGGGCTTTGTGTGAGATTTGTTCCAGAGTGATTTACGTATAATAGAGTACTTGGGGACTGGGATCCGAAGAGGACGATTTGGGATGTGTACTGAGATGGTGCAAACAGTAGTATTGGGCCCGTACTACTCAAAGCACCGGTGCGGTACACAGACCCGAATAAGAATCTGGGGATGCCAAGAGTCAAAGAGGGGTGGATTGTTGAATGTAAGAGTATTCGAGTGAATTATAATTATCGCATGTTGTATTTCAGAGGTTGATCATGGTGAGGACGCGACACATGCCGGAGGATGCCGGGTCTAGTGATGAGGACATTCGGCAGATCATTCATGAGGAGGTGGCTGCGGTCATCAGAGCCATACCTGTATTGTTCTAAAGAATTATCTTTTTTTTTACACTCCACCAATTGTTCTATCTGCAGGCATACATGTATGGGCTCTTTAAGAACAAGCGTATTTCATTCTGTATCAGAAACCTATATTTCAGTCCGTATCAGAAACCCATAATAAAATATCTTTCCGCCATTTAGTATTATGGTGGAATTGACAAAAGGAATGTAATTGTTAATTCCATTCCTTTCATCTGTTTGCAAGTTTCCATTGGATTAGTGTGTGCTTTGAATTACCACAACCCGTATTTCAGTCCGTATCAGAAACCCATACAGGTATCATTTCCAAATGTATGTATTCCTTAATTTGATAGAATTCTTCAGAACAAAAACCATTATTGCATTCCCCCTCAATGTTGTGTGCCCTTACTCGGTGAACTACATATAAATTAAAAACTCATTTTTTATTCAACATTATTCTGGACTAAAGGGTAAAATGGTCATTTCCTCAATCAAATACTATTGAAAAACATTGATAAACAAAGGGTGAAGTTAAGTCACCAACATGATTATATGTAAGGGCCATAGATACAACACCTCTCATAAGACCAACCCACCATATTAAAACCTTTAAAATTAATAAAAAAAAATAGTAAAAGGGATTAAAATTCATGATACTAGAATAGAGTAAGAACATACCTGCTGCCTAAAATCTATTTTCTCGTGTCGAGCCTTCTTTGTTAAATTGCTACAATCCAAGGTATTTTGGTCTTTTGTTCCTCTCTCTCTCTCTCTCTTTCTCTCTAACACACACACACAAACGCATGCATACACATCATGAAGGATTTTTAAGTTTTTAAACATTGAGAATAAAGTGTCCATTGTCCTGGAAAGTCTAGTAATAAAGGGAGTGCATATGAACCTCTTCGCAGCATGCGTATTACCTCAAAGCTACGCGATTTTCATAACTTTAGGTTTGTTTTACTCTTCATTAATAATAACTCAAATCTCGTGTTTCTTAACTGGATAAGTTTTCTAGATTTTGAAAAATATTGATCTTCCTCAGGTTGATGCTGAACTAAACAAAGAACTAGAATAATGGAACGAATTACTTAAGAATGAAGCAGTAAAGCTCTGCCAAGAGAATAACTTCACTTCAGGGTTTTTCGAGGGCAGTGAGAGTAATTCTGTTGTTGATGCTTATGAATTGAGGTAAAAATATTAGCATTTCCATATTAACAAGAACCATCTGAATTATTATTATTAACTTTGTTTGTGCAACTTACAGCTCAGGCTTGAGCATATTCTTGAGAGGATATCATTAATATCTGATGCTGGAAACACAGAAAAACCTTCACTGATCACAAATAGCCCATTCATTGGAGGGGCATTAGCTGCAAGATCTGTTTATACACTGCAACATTTAGGGATTACACATATATTGTGTTTGTGTTCTAATGAAATCGGGCAGGCTGAATCTCAACGGGCAGATTTGATTGAGTATCAAAACTTTTCTGTAATTGATTAATTAATCTTTCCTTTTTTATTTAATAAAAAACAGGTTGTGATGATGAACATGAACATATAGGTGACTAAGAAGAAGCAGACATCATTCAGATCTATGAAGAATCTCATCAATTTATTGAAGTTGAAGAATCTCATCAATTACATCTACGTTATTACTTACACATCATATATACTTCAATTTGATTTTTTATTATGTTTGGTGAGATCGTGTTCTCTGTTCTTGATGCTGCATCTGATAGGGAACCAAAAGTGAGGGGTCAGGAGTGAGCAGATGCTTTTACAAGCAATGCTTTACAATATTAAAGGAAATTTGGATAAAGTGCAACATGAACTACAGAAGGCAAAATTAATGCTTAATGAAACATTTACGACTTTGCCACTTGAACCTGCACTTTCAACAGTTCCTTTGGATTACAAAAATAACACCATTCCGTTAAAGAGGTATTGTTTAGAATCTTGCATGTATATATGAATATATGTACTTCATACAAGTTTACATGATACTCTTCAATAAATATAGTTACTTTCTACTACTTTGTGACTTTTTTTCCCCTGACACTTGAAATAACAGGGCAAGGAGAGCATTCTAAACATTCTGGAAACTTTCAAAGAAGAGGGATATGGGTACACAGAAGATTTTGGAAGTTTTAGTCATGTTTCTTTTAGATGACTTGGTCGTTCACTTTGCAACAAAGCCTCCATCACTTGGTACGTGTTGTTATCTACTTTCTAGTCTTTGCTTACACTGATTTTACTCAAAGTGACATATTTATATATGTGCTTGTGCTTGACATAACAGGTTCTATTGGCTACTTGTTGTGCCTTTGAAGGGGTATGGTTCTCATCACATCACTGAAGAAAATCTAGGTGGCAAAATAATATCATGTTTTGTTCTTCTTTATGCCTTTGAAACTGCAAGAGATGTTGGAGCCCTTAGAGAACCTAAGGACAAACTAAAGAAGTGAGTTGAAGAGCTGACATGGAGATTAGACTTTGAAAAGAATTTGAGGGTATATTTTTTATATTTCTTGTATCTAATTAGTTTGTCAATTTTTGTTACAACTATTGATTTGTTTTATCTTTCCATGGAACGATTATTTGTATGACATTAAATTTTATGCAATGGATTGTATTTTTTGTATATGATAATCTATTTTCTATTATGAGACATTAAATACAAATTTAATTTGAAAATTAGTAAATCTATAAATAATATATTTTTTTTAAACATTTAAAATTACGATACGCAAAAATGTGTGTCATATTCATTTATGACATGGCCTTTCTTGACAGGGGCTTTCTTGATACGCATTGCGTGTCATTAACACGCGCGTCGTAAGGTTACGACACATGAATGCGTGTCGCCTTCCTTTATGACAGGGCCTTTCTTGATACGCATTGCGTGTCGTAAACGCGCGTCGTAAATGAGCGTCATAAATGCGCGTCGTCTCTTAGAGAGAGAAACTCTAAGTTGGTACAATTCATCAGTGATCTTGGCAAAAGCGCGTCGTCTGAGCCCTTTACGACGCGCAATGAGCGTCGTAAAAGGTTGTTTTTCTAATAGTGAGAAGCATCGTATTTTTTGGATGACATGCCGAAAACATTTTCTATTTGGTTGATACGACATGCACATAACAAACTATTATCTTGAAAAATAGCTACAAGTAATTTAACGAATATTGTACCTTGGTTTCTCCTAGTGTCACGAAGAGGCCTTACCCATCTGTCCTTACTCTTTGTGATCTGATGACTATACGTTGTATGCAGATTGTTCCCGATAGCAATCCCAACAACCAACCCACTTCCAACTCCACAGAATACGATGATCCAATCAATTGTTTCGGTTGGGAAAAGAGATTCAGACACACTGCTTGTTGGTGGAAGTCTTGACACCTTTGGATGATCCTGACATTCCTTGGATAAAGGTCGTCCACACAATCGGGGATTCCCGATGTAGGAGTTGTTATCAAATGTATCAAACTGTTTTCCTTGTGGTATGCGCCCCTGTAGATGGTTGAATGACACATTGAAGATGGAAAGGAAACCGAGTTGCACAACTGTTGAGGAATTTCCCCTGTTAGGTTGTTTCGAGAGAGATCCAAAGCTTCAAGATTCTTTAGGTGCCACAAAGATGGCAGGACACGTCCCGTAAAATGATTGTTAGAAAGATTGAGTGATTGGAGGCCTCGAAGATGTTGGAGTGATTCTGGGATTTCTCCTTCAAAATGGTTACAAGAGAGATCAATGGACATATCTATGGTTAAAATATGTTGGTACGCTGTTCTGACACCTTTGTGTATTAACGTCACCGAGTATGTGAAATTTGTAAGCACATGTTTGGAGGTTATATTTGATTCCATAACAGATGATACGCCAAGATTTCCAGAGCTCATGGCATGCCATGTAGTGAAGTAGTTGTGGTGCAACTGACCACTGAAACGGTTGTTAGAGAGGTCTATGATCCGCAGCATAGGGAACCGTGAGGAAACAGCAGTGGAACCGTCAATTGGACCATGTAGTTTGTTGGACCGCAAAACCAGAACTTGCAGCCTGGGAAGAGTTCCCAACCAAGAAGGAAAGACATCATGCAAAGAGTTATCTTCAAGAGAGAGAAACTCTAAGTTGGTACAATTCATCAGTGATCTTGGCAGCTGACCGCTGAATCTGTTTTCGCTCAAATCAAGTTCTTTCAACTGGCTTCCAGGCAGAAAAGCATTCAACATTTTGCCTTGGAAATTATTTTGTCTCAGATCTAAAGCAATTAACGAATTGCTTAAGATACCCAAACATGAAGGAAGTGTTCCGCTCATGTTGTTAAAAGACAAATCTAACAGTTGAAGAGATTTCAGTTCACATATCCATGCTGGTATTTCTCCTATCAGATTATTATGTGCGACGGAATAAATAACTATGGATTGTTGTGGAATTGGTAGTTGTCCCCGTAGCTGATTATTATTGATAAAGAATACTTGTAAATTTGTCCATGGGAGAAGATGAGGATGTTGATCAAAGCCAGTGATGGAGTTGTGTGAAAGGTAAATCCCCTCTAATGTTTCCCGGCTGTTGTTCCAGATCCACATCGGTACCAGCCCATCAATTTTGTTATCGTCAAGAATTAAAACTTGCAATTTATTTTGGAAGCGCAAAAAGGAAGGAAATTCCTTCAAGTTGCATGATGACAGTCCTAACTGTACCAATTCTGGTAAACTGGTATTGGTGTAGTTGTTTGTGACTACTAATGATATCATGTTATAATCTAACGAGAGTGTTTGGAGCTTGTTGAGTCCTAGGAACATGTCCAGTTCTACCCTACCACTAAAATTGTTTTTACCAAGGGCAAGATACTCGAGACTTTTGAAGCTGGAAAATGTGTTTGGAATTGGTCCATGCAATTGATTTTTTTGAAGAGATAAAGATGTAAGTTGGGTTTGGTTGAACAACCAGGATGGTAAACAGCCAACAAGAGAATTTTCCCCCATACCTAACACATTAAGTTTGGTTAGGTTGGAAAGAAAGAGTGGGATTTCAGTACTGTTTGTGTTCGTATCTGACACATAGAGTTCACTAAGTTTACTCAGCGTTCCTAGCCAATTGGGAAAACGTCCTTTCTCAAATTTGTTACCATTAAGTACCAAAACATCGAGTTTCAAAAGACTTCCCAATGAAGGAACTGAACCTGTGAACTTATTGTCACCAAGACCCAAGATAGTGAGTTGCGTCAAGTTAGAGAGTGAACGTGGAATGCGTCCCGAGAAAGAGCAATAACTAAGGGACAAGACTGTCAAATGCTTGAGGTGGCTTATGGATTCTGGTATAAACCCAAAGAAACCTGTGGAAAATAGTATCACTTCTTCAAGTAAGCTGTTGCCATGAAATTCAGGAAAGGAACCAGTGAGGCGAGTATTGTATGCCAAATCAAGAAGTTGCAACTTAGGTAACTCAAGTATGGCCCCAGGGAATTCATTCTGCAGGAAACAGTTTCTCAGCTTGATTGACCTCAAAGAAGAAAAGTTGGCCAAGAAATGAGGTACAGAAGAACTGATATCAACCCCCGATAGATGGAGCTGTTCAAGCCCTGTTAAGGTTTGCACAAGGTTCTTGAGGCTAGGATTGTGAAGCCTTAGTGAACTCATTGACAGATCTAAAGAAGACAACTGAATCAACTGCGAGATTTCAGTTGGGATTTGGCCACTAAATCCAGAATAAGAGAGATCGAGGCTTCTTAATTGCTTTAGACGACCAATCTCAGATGGGATTTGAGAATCACCAAAGTTGTTCCCAGAAAGATTGAGTCTCTGAAGATGAACAAGGTTGAAGAGGGTGCTGTTGGAGTTGATATGCCCACAAAGAGACCTCTCGCTCAAGTCAATGCCGATCACATGAACATAGTACTGATCATGGTCATGGCTGCATGCCACCCCCTCCCATGAACAACAATCAAAACTATTGTTCCAAGAGTGGAACACTTGAGACCCATAAGCAGCACAAGCAACATCATCTTGATGAATTATGCTCTGCTTAAACTGAAACAAGGCTGAGCATTCTTCATCATGGCTTAATGATGATCCAATGACATTAACTACCACCAACATATATAGAAAGGAGATTGTTTGCAAGAACTTGAAGTGATTCATGTATGGAGCCATGGATTAAAAAGGGTTTTTATTTTATAATTGTTTATGGACATGCAATGTTCATTATATATAGACCATGAGGAAGTAATTTCAACGTACAAACGTACATAGATAATCACCATGGCTGTGGCCTATGGGTAAGGGTGAAGGGGAACCAATAAAAGGCATAGCTGAATATTCAACTAATAGAGCCAAAGAAAAAAAATTGGGACTTTTAAAAATAGATCTATTTTACTTTCTTTGTCACAAATTTGATGGCAAATTGGCAATATTGAAAACTTTATAAGTTAATATGTGAAAAGTGGAAAAATAAGGGATGAGCCCCCTTTGAATAACCAGAAGATCTATATCATATCAGTATGGTTAAAAAGGTGGCCTTAATTTATTGAATTGATTAAGTTCAAAACCTCTTTGTGACTAAGATTGAAGACTTTGGGTTGTATAAGTTAGTTGTTTGAAAAATATATAACTGGTTTTTTTGGAAGTGTTCTACAAAAATATTGTGTTTTAATCGTGTATGTGATTAACTGTCCATATTTCCGGATTAGTTTAAGATAGATGTAATGATTCTGTCTTTGAAAATTGTCCATACTTAGTCGTAATAATAATATATTAATAAACACTTTAATATGTAAACAAATTAGCAATTTTACAAACTTTACCGCTCTTATATACACCTTTCTTGTTCAAGAGGGACAAAAATAAAAAACAAAAAATTATTCATGCCGGAATTATAATTTTCAACAAAATAGAGATGAAAAATATAACTTAACCTAAAATATTAATAATTTAAATACAAACAAAATTTGAGTAGATACAAACAAAATTTGAGTAGACTTATGGAAGACTTCAAAGTCTTGCTTTTGTAGTGTTAATTGTAGCAATAGACAACCACAAATGTCGAGGTAAACATCACCCCAACGTCTTTAATGGTGCATCTGTTTTCTTTCTTAGATGTTTTTTCTTAAATCATAAATTATAAGTTACCATTTTAGATGTTTTTTTATTACAAAATACAAATCATTGAATTTGTTAGATATTATTAGGGACAAATATGAAAAGAGAAATTGTCAAGAAAATCCTAATATTTTCAGAAAAGTTACATTTTAGCCTCAAGTTTTTTTTTTTTTTTTTAAAAATAAAAGTCTCGATTATTTGTAAAAACACAATAATATATCATCTCCTATTAAAAGAAAAAATAATTAATTTGGGCCAAAATGAAATAATTGGGACTTTTATGTTCAAAAAAAAAAACTTGGGATTAAAGTGTAATTTTTCCGAAAACATTAGGATTTCCCTAACAATTTCCCATATGAAAATAAGTTAATTTTGTGTTATACATTCGTTTTGATACATCTCTTTATACATGTTGAAGTCTCCACTTTCTCCATAAGAACTCTTTTATAGAGTAATCTAAGGATACTGTATATATCTTACAATTATATCATCCATGATCTAAGAGAATGTGTAATCTTTTTGGAAAATATTTAGTTTAAATTAATTTATTTACTTGTTAACAATCTATTATGCACCTCCATTGAGCAATTTCTTCCAAAAATAAAACATTGATTTTATATATTTCATATCGGTGTAATTGAAATTGCATTAGGTCACTCATGACTACATTTCTTTGTTATTATAGACTTGTGTTGATTTGTATAACCAAGGGATATCAAGAGGGACAAATGGGACAGAGGTTGCCTACCCCACCCCCTCCTACCCCCCCCCCCCCCCAAAAAAAATATAATAATAATAATAATAATAATAATAATAATAATAATAATAATAATAATAACAACAGGATTTAATCATGTCCCCACCCCAAATTTTTTAAACAAATACCCCTATACATAATCGGGATCCTAACTGGACTTTTTCACATCCCTAGTAGAACCGCGCCGACCATGTTATATATAGGGTTACTGTAACATCCGGATTTTTCCCAGGTATAATGTAAGTTTAATTATGTTATTTTGTAAGAGGGACTCGGCGAGTCGGGGCTCAGACTCGCCGAGTAGAGACGCGGGATTGAGCAAAGGTGCGCGCTTGGACTCGGCGAGTCCAGGGTATGGACTCGGCGAGTCTGCGCTGTGTAGTGAAACCCTAAATCTCCGGGTTTGTGGCCTATTTAAAGGGCCTTATGGCCGTCATTTGCACTCATCCAACCCCCAGAGTGTGTCCCTAGAGTCCTTGAGCGTTTGGTGAAGGATTGAGAGCAAATCTTGACCTTGTGAGTGTTGTTTAGCAAGAAGAAGGAGGCTCTAGGCAAGAGGAAGCAAAGGAGGTTGCTATTTCGTGGATTTGGAGCTTGGATCATCACTCTAGAGGTATTATTTTCGGACCATTTCCTGTTTGGTGAAACTTGATGCAAGTTAGGGCTTAATATGATCATTTATGGGGTGATTTGGTGCCCTTTTGTCCCCTCTTTGAGTTGAGACCATGGATCTGGATCCATAGAGGTCCAGAGGGCCTCACTCATCAAGCTTTATGGGTGAAAATGGAGTCCTTGGCCTTGTGTTGAAGTAATAGAGTCAAAATCATCATTTGTGATCATGTAGAGGTTATTTATGCATCAAGGTTGTGACTTTACGTGCTAAATAAGCATGGGGGGACTGGATCTATGGATTAGTGGACTGGATCTGGCCTTTAGAGCAAGATTGAGCCAGTGCATGGCACGGACTCGCCGAGTCCGAAGAACAGACTCGGCGAGTAGCATGAATGTTGCGCGACCACTCAGCGAGTGGTCTCGCCGAGTTGGGAAAGGTGAACTCAGTGGGTCAAGGGAGAGTCAGGATGGACAGGTGGACCGAGTCAAACTGGACTCGCCGAGTTGTTCTTGAGACTCGGCGAGTTGAGTCGTGGTGGCCCCACAACTCGTGCCAGGTGGAGCTCGTCGAGTTGGGGGAAATACTCGACGTGTCAAGGGAGGATTCCAGGGAAGTTGGTGCATGCGCACGGACTCGCCGAGTCGCCATAGTGCACTCGCCGAGTCCGGTCAGAGTTGACCGTTGACCGTTGACCAGCGTTGACCAAGAGTGATTTGTTATAGTGTGATCAACCCTAGATTGGGAGAGTGTTAATTAGAGATGTATTGTGCTATAGGGGGACTACAGCTCGGCGGATCGAGTGTTTAGTGATTTCAGGGTTACGAGTTACCGAGACACACGAGGTGAGTCTCCTCACTATACTTTACCTTGAGTAGGTAACCAGAGTTATGTGTTAGAGTATTTGTATGCTATGTATGTTATGTGTTGTACTGCATGATTTATATGTGATTTATGTGGTGCATGTTTATCAGAGCTAGAACCTGAGGGTTCACAGAGTTTGGGTGCACGGACCCACAGAGTTATAGCCTCGAGTGGCTAATATGTGTTTTATGTGGTATTTTGGGGAACTCACTAAGCTTTGTGCTTACAGTGTTGATGTTATTTGTTTCAGGTGTTAGTGACGACCGCGGGAAGGCGCCGGCTTGATCCGTACACACACGTTTGAAGTTTTACATGTTGATCTTGGGATTTTGTACTGTTTTATTGAACAAGTAAAATGGGTGTTTTTATGAATATTAGTGGAATTATGTTATATATAAAAATTGAAAATTTTGTTTGAAAAATCAGTGTTACAAATTGGTATCAGAGCCTTGGTTTGAGGGATTCGGGTACACCTTCGGGAGTATTTGAACTCAAACTGAGGAATTGAAGAGATATTTTCAAAAATAAAAACCAAAATTTTCTAAGAGTAAAGGGTTTTCCAGGAAGAAACGTGTGTACGATCAGTCAGCGCCCGAACGGTGAATTCCCAAAATACCTTTTGTTATGAAATAATTAATACTGTGATGTGTTTGCATGCTAGAGCAGGCTAGGTATTGCTGATAGGACTAGAGTGGCCTGTTTTGTGATGCCTTAGCTTAGGGAATGGTGAGCTGCTATGAGATGCTAAGAGTAATTAGGTAGCAGCTAGGGCTTTGTGTGAGATTTGTTCCAGAGTGATTTAAGTATAATAGAGTACTTGGGGACTGGGATCCGAAGAGGACGATTTGGGGTGTGTACTGAGACGGTGCGGACAGTAGTATTGGGCCCGTACTACTCAAAGCACCGGTGCGGTACACAGTCCAAATAAGAATCTGGGGATGCCAAGAATCAAGGAGGGATGGATTGTTGAATGTAAGAGTGTTCGAGTGAATTCTAATTATCGCATGTTGTATTTCAGAGATTGATCATGGTGAGGACACGACACATGCCGGAGGATGCCGGATCTAGTGATGAGGAGATTCGACAGATCATTCATGAGGAGGTGGCTGCGGTCATCAGAGCTGAGATACCAGAGATGTTCGGGTCTATCAAGACCGCTTTGATTGAGACGTTTGATGAGCGCTATGCCGCTCTTTCTGAGGCTGCGGTTGCAGCGGCTACCGCAGCGATTGCTGCGACGAGACCCCAGGGAGGTGATGCGATGTTGTTTAGGGAGTTCAGCAACACCAAGCCACCAGAGTTTGATGGTACACAGGATCCGGTGGCGGCTATGAGGTGGATATCTGATATGGAGGGATGCTTCTTCACTTGCTCGTCCCCGAGCATTTGAAGGTTCGGTTCGCGCTGAACCAGCTTCGCTTGGGAGCGAAGGACTGGTGGAAGTTTGTGACTGCGCATTTCACACCGACCGAGCTTGCGGCAGTGACCTGGGAGAGGTTCACTTCCATGTTCCGAGATGAGTATGTTCCTCAGGTGGAGAGGGAACGTCTAGCACAGGAGTTTCTGACCCTCAAGCAGGGTACCGAGTCAGTTACAGTGATTACGAGGATGTTTCAGGAGAGGGCGATGTTTTGCCCTGAGCACGTATCCACCGAGCAGGCACGTATGAGCCGTTATCTGAGCATTTTGAGACGGGATATTCGGGAGTTCGCTGCGAACTCCTCGTACCGGACATTTGCCGAGCTTCAGGCAAATGCTCGGAAGAGGGAGATTGAGCTTGAGACTCAGGCCAGGGAGGAGGCGGAGTCTATGGGGAGGGATCGG